TTGCCAAACAATATTTCACTTGCTATATTTATTTTGGTTATTTTTAGTTCAATTGCCAAACACATTATAAACTTTAATAAATAGCCAATTTTTTAACTCATTAAATATTCTGAAAATATATGTTTACCTTCAAAACTAGAACATTTTCGTTTCACACTATTTTATAAATATTACAAATTAAAAACTCTAAAAAAATTTGAACCTTATCGTATATTATTGATTTTTCATTTTTTCGATCACAAATATAATTTCTTACGTGTTCAATATTGTTTTTTTTATATATTTCAAATTTAATCATCTAATCTCTGTTTTTTCCATTTGTCTTGAAAAATTCAAATTTTTAATGTTTTAATCTTAACCATAGTTTTTTTAAAGAAAAAAAATGTATTTGAAATGATACCAAATTTTGTATATTCTAAATATTCACCAAATATGGTTTTGTTAACAAAAAAGTTGCCAAAATTCAACATAATACTATGGAAAATACATTTATCTAGAGAAAATTAAGTAGTAGTTACCAAAATTTAGGATACCAAATCTTATTTGATTAGATTAAAATCAAATTTTACGGAAACGAAAAATAAAATCTAATAAGGTAACCAAATAACTAGAGACAAAAATAGATATTACGTGATTGACATGTTCAACTAATGTTTGCAATATTCACTTACCCTCATAATTACTTGAGATTAAACCTAAAAAATTGAATTCATATTTGTAATATTTTATTTTGTACATTTGAGTCATAAACGTATTTTTGAAGATTTTGATATTAAATAAATATATTTCATTAATAAGTGATATATATTGACTAAAAACTAAAAAAATATTATTTTCAATTATTTCACGGGTGGAATACATTTTTATACAAAATTATTGTGAAATTCATATATATAAACGAGTTTTAGATTTCGTATCATAATTTTTCTAATACCTATAGATAATAAATTAAAACTTTATTAATTTTATTCGCATATTACATTATCCCGCGTATAACGCGGCTACTATCTTAATATTTTTTAAGAACTTTTTTTCTGTTGACCAAAAAAAAAAAGAACATACTTTTTCCTCTTAAAAACTGTGAATCCTAATTTAGTTGTTGACAAAGACCAGATCAAATAGGGTCGGCGAAAAACTTGGTCATATAGTTTAAACAAAAAAAAAAGAAAACACTTGGTTATAGAAAATCAAATAAATCTTCTAACCGAAATTTTTTGTTTAAAAAATAAATAACTCTTCTAACCGAAATCTTGACGAGACAAACAGAAACAAAAAAAAAAAAACTTTATATTTATCTTAAAATCCCCCATTAAAATTATAAACTTTAGGATTTTACCCCTAGATTTTGATTCAACATTAATTAACTTGGATAATAATCTTTAAAATCTTAACATAAAACCAGATATAATCGATTGAAATA